AAAAAAGGAATAAAGAAAAAAAGAAAAAAACCCAACATTTCTGTGCTGTGCAAAAGACACTTTGTACAATTCAAACAGAACAAACTCCATGCACATGAACGGGGCTACAGAACACCCCAAGCCAGGACCCGGCTCCCCGGCACCACCTGGCAAAATCCCAACAAAAACAGGGCTGGAAATAATACTGATGCACAAAGTCCCCTTTAATAGGCGGGCAGGGAGGATTGTCGCTGAGCCCAGCCACGGCACATGCAGGATGAGCTTCCAAGCACTGCAGCTGGGGTCTTGCTGATGCCCTACAGTGATGGACAGACACAGAGGGGTCACAGGCAACAAAGCCGCGCTGGCCGCCTGGGAGCCGAGGGGTGCTAAGATGACACAGTCACTGCCGTCAGGGCTCCGTTCCGGGTGTAGTAGAACTTGCTGAATGCCTCTTCAAGTAAACAGGTAAGTCTGCTCTGGTCAGCCTGGGAAGGACAAGACACGATGAGGGGTAGGTCCAGTCCATGCAAAGCTAAGAGGTCGGCTGAAGCCTGCCAGGGCACGTGGGCAGGGACACGTCTTTTTTCTTCTACCTCCCCAGCCAGAAAAGGACTGGTCTGGCATAAACCATTCAAGTTTGAGAAAGGAACGCAGACCTCTATCCCTACCTCAGCCCCAGGCCTGCTTACCTCACTGATGAATCCAAGCTGGACCAGTTCAGCTGCCAGCTCCTGGATGTTGTCATCTGCAACAGAGGGACGGGTGTGAGTCCCAGGGCTGAGCGCACCAGACGATGGGAAGAAAGGTACTTACTGGGCTGCAGGTCACAGCTCAAGTGTCGATTCAACTTGTCTTCCAGTTTCAGCAGCAGTGTTAACTGCAGGGCAGAGAAGTTCTCATGAGGGACTGCATGGTGGCCACAGCCAGGAGCATCCCCAGAAATCCCCATCGGGACAGGAACCGCCCCCCTCCAGAGCCCCACAGGAGTCTAACAGAACCACCACATCCAGTTCCATTCCAAACCACAGCTGGCAGCAGAGGAAGCCAGAATCTGGGGGTGGGCCGAAAACATTTGCTATGTGCCAGGTCAGCCACGGGCATGGGCTTTGGGATCTGGCTTTTGGATCTGGCTTTGGGCCCCAAAGACGGCAGCTGTGGCAGCAGAGGGTCACACCAGGCACCAGCAGCGTGCTGGAGCCACGTGCTCTGCACAGCCGCCCTGGTACACCCCCGCGCAGCACGCGCAGCCAGAAGATGGGAACATACATGGTGCTTCACTCCCTCCTCTACTGACTCAATGTTGCACTGCATCAGCACCACCTGAAACAGGAGCAGAGACACCCGTGACCGACTGCTGCTGCGCAGCGCAGCTGCCTGGCGAGGGGAGGAATGGAGCTCCCGTCTCTCACCTTGCGCGTCTCCACCTCAGCAGGCTCCGGAGTCGGGGTTTTCACTGATGGTGGAGCAATGGGAGACTTCACCACTACTTGCTGGGGCTGCTGGGGTCGCGGCATCCCAAAAGCTGTGAGTGGGTAGATACCATTCCTGCAAGAAAGGAGCAGGGACTGAGGTTATGCCTCTCCGAATTTTTTCCAGTCTTACACACAGTTAAAGTTGCCCTTTAAAAAAAAAAACCCTCTTACCTTACATCCTCCAGGAACTTGTCCAGCTCCAATGCCGGAGATTGTGAGAAGCTGGGGGGG